AGTATGAAGATAAACAAGATGGAATCAATGGACATAAACGCCTTTAAAATGATGGATAGAAGGATGTGGCCGTGGAAATGTAGGACACAATTGTTAGTTGGAGAAAATATCACGTCACAATGGCTATTTCCGTTTCGAGCAGAATGGCACTTTAGCTGTGTATATTATATTTCCAATCATCTACTTGGTACACTTTGGGCCCATATTGAAGAGCATGCCAACTCTTCCCTGATGAGTTGTCAAGGTTGCTGGTTCAGCCAACTTCAAATTCACTAGTGCTTGATGGCTCTCTCTCTCTAATGTACACAAAATAATCCCCAAAGTCTCTGACTAAATAACATCTATTGTTCCCGTTTTCATTGGCCGTTCATTTGCAACCAGAATCAGAAATCACTCATTGTTTAAATGCTAATTAATTTAATTTTTTTGATGAAGTGATTAAATGGTCATGTTAAATAAATTGGAATATTTTTTCACAATTTTTAACTGGTCTCTAATAATAATCCAAATGTTAACTTAGTATATAATTCTGCAATATTCGGATTTGATAAATGATCATTCTACATAGACAAATTAAGGGGAAAAGCGATTTCGCGATTTTGTTGTATGAACTAGTGCCAGAATCAATCTCTACACTTATGGTTGAAGAAAAGCGAAAGAATATGCTTTCTATTGCTAATTTTGAATCCAGCTCTTTCTCTGGGCACTGGGAGGAGTGATTAATTATGCATTAATTTAGTTTGGCGGTCTCGATATTCACTACCTCTTTCTCTTTTCTTCTTGGTTCATGCGACTCTCTGTGATGTTTCAGTTGAAGAATGATCAAATAATACAGTTGGAGGAACGATTGCAAGAGTCGGGGCAACAAGTGCGAGTTCTTGAGAATGCTGCCTCGCGAGCTGGAGACGAAATGCGCACCAGTTCTGCCTCACTGGCCCAACGTGATGCTGAGTTGGCTGAGCTGCGTGAGGCTCTTGGTGCTTCCCAAGCCGCACACACTGCAGCGACAAAACGCTGTGAGGAGATCCGTGCTGAATTGCTGGGCGCTGTGGAACAACAGCAACAGGAATCCGACCGCACTCTGCGTCAGAAGGAAAAACAGATCGGAACCCTGCAAGAGAGTCTCAACTCCTTGCAAAAGGAATCCGACAGGAGCTCAAAGCGAAATGTAAGTGTCACTTGGGCATTTGTCTTGGTGCAATTAAAGTGCTCGAGTACATTCCATTCTTTACAATATATAAGGAGAAGAAAATGACGGACAATTTGGCCTATGTGGAGAAACTCAAAGACCAATTGAAAGAAAGTACCCAAGAAAAGGTGAGGTATATTAATTTGAGTAATGATCAACTTGTACCACAGAGAGAGATGGCCAAACAGTTGACAACAACCAAACAGAATAGCTTCAAACTGGAAAAGGAGATAAGCGAAAAGGTAATGAATTTGCACCTTGAATAAAGTGACAATGGTATATGGCATAAGTGTGGTTGCAATTTTATCATGATAGAAAAGTCAAATATCGACCATGGAAGAACAAATCGGAAGCCTGAATGAGCAAATACATAAATTGAATGCTGATCAGGACAAATTGGCAGAACTAATGAGCACTAAAGATTTGGAAATAGGGAGACTGCGACGAATTGAAGCAGAATTCGCTGATTTTAAACGTACAGTAACAGAAAACACACCACCTTGCTCCACACAGATTTCAAGGGCTCCAGAAATGGAAGCGCAAATGACTCCTCAATCACCATTCAGATTGGAGAAATTCAATCAAATGGTTCGTAACTTTGCATTTTGGTTAAATAAGTACATTTGCTCTCCAATTATTTTCATTTACTAAATTCAGTCACCAACATTCAGAAGAATTGATCACTAAACTACATTGCTTTTCACTATCAATTAGATGACTTACGACAACTACAACTTTTACTAGATCAATCTATTTCGAGAGACATGTTTCTCAGGAACAAACGTTCGAATTGAACTTATTTTAAGGATGAGGAAGGGAGATTTATTTATTTATATCCAATGGCAGGAATTTTGATAGTTATTATTAGCCCTGGAGCTGACTTCGGGGCTTCACAGAGAGGAGCAAAAACATCAAAGTGACAAAAAGTCGAGAGGGGGCACAGAAGAGTGATTCACAGATATGAAAGAGATAGACAAACAGACCGACAGGCACAAAGGCATAAAAAAGGTAAGGTGGGTACTGTGGAAGGGGTCGAATATGACANATTTTGTCAGAGGCGTTAGAGACCCAGGAAATGTAACAAAGGTAGAGTTTTTCGCATCAATTGCATGCAGTAGAATTTTGTTCAAACTACTGCTTCTTCTAGTCAGTGAAGCATATTTCAAACAAAAGAAGTCAAAGTCTAGAGCATCTTTGACGGTGTGTTTATTAATATCTATTATTAATTGAGAGAGATCAAGCAAATGGTTATGTGTTGTAATAGCCTACTAACTTGAACGAGACTTAAGGTCACTTATTGGGAGTTATCTAATTCACATAAATTCGGCAGGTACTGTTGAAGACACCTCAGAAAACTCCCAAGAGTATACTTAAGCAACCTGGTTCTGAGTGCAAACGACGTCGGGTGCTTCTAATTTCTCCAGAAAGAATGTCAGAAGTAGAGGATACTCCAGAAGAGCGAAAAACCGAAATGTCTCATTTTGATTCAATGGGAACAGTGGATCTGGATGCAACACCTGAGAGAGGTGGTGCCTCAAAGCTACACTTGGCAACCCGCACACCAAATGCACATGGAATTCCCCAAATTCGTGTGAGTGCAAATGATTTCTGATTTATTCGAAACCATTTAAGTGAAAATTGGCATCTTGTCATCGTCGTATCCAACATTTCAGAAAGAGAAATAAGAAGTTACACATTTCACTATGGTTTGTTGTTCATTGGTTAAAGCTCTGCAACCATTTAGACTGTGAGCTAGCATCTGTGATTGCGCAATTGCAGCATATTGTTTTCCATTCTATAGTGTCAACAAACTTGAGTGCCTACGATGTTACTCTTAGCAGAGCGCCAGATTTCAGGCTTTCCTTTAAGTGGTTACTATTTTGTTAGAATAAGTAGCAATGAAATCGTAAGTGAATTCGATTGAAACAGATGTGCGGAAATGAATGTAAGTATTTACTGATATCACGAACGTCAGGTAAGCAGTACTTCAATAATGGAATCATAAGAAAAATTATGGGTACTGGGAACAATATGGGACAACAATGGAAATGACACATTTAAAACCCGGCATATTTAGGTACCAAATGTTCGAAAAACACCGAGTACAGGTAATGCCAACCGTGGTCCCCCAACCAATACTCGTACCAGCACAAGACAGACCAGATCATCCAGAAACCACGCGATAACCCTATCAGCGTCAACTGTTGCTGCTGTTGCATCCGAAGCATCTTGGTTTGAATCAGATGAAACATTCGGACTGGGTGCAGAGGAGTGAAGTTTTGTTTGAGTAGAGACACCACATTTATACTTCTTTTAAAAGTTACATTATGTTATGATTGAATAAACGAAACCGTGTTTTCTATTTATTTAAGTTTTAACATATGAGTAGTATAGTTACCCAGTAGGTTGGACCGACGTATTAGTTTAAATAAGTGGTAAGAAATTTTATGACCATCCTTATGGTATTTTGTCCTTTTTATCTATACGAACAGTGAATGTTTACGTTAAAATGTCACAATAAAATCTGCTTTTGAAAATTTATGTCTCAAACGTATTTACAATGGAATCATATGTGTTTTCTATATTGGGTATTTGGTTGACCAAAGCAAACGAAAATTTGATTGAGACAATTTTAGAACATTGGCAGTACTAACGGAAACATGGACTCTTCTTTTTAGTTAGAAAGTGGTGGAATTAAGGCCTACTTTTAGAGACCCAAATTGAAAGACATGTTTTTGTGGTCACTCTCGCTATTGCACTATCTGTATATTTTGATCCGATTTGTCATAAATTATAGTATCCACATCTAATAGGAATGTCGAAAATTAGATGTTATATTATATTGGTTAACAAATAAATGATGATTTAAATGGATTAATTGTGGACATAAACAGATAAAAATGTAATAACTAAAAAAAATAATGGTCAAAGATCCATTTATTTAACTAAAAATTGAAATAAACAACAAACCTCTCACAAAATATGGTATACGTTTATAGGAATGACACGTAATTGTAGGTTACCAAGTATTGATTCATGAAAATATTCCTTAAGAAAAGCACAACTTGAATATTTTTTGTCCTCCACCTATAATTCTACTTTGTGAATATAAATGGGTACCATTTACAATACCCAATGAATTCAAAATGTCATCATCTTTGAGTTGTTTTCCTTGGAACATTATTTGAATACTGTTCGTATCTCTGTTTTCCAATTGGCCAGTTTTCTCTTTTAATTTGAGTACCTTGTCGGAACTTGATATTGTAATATTATGAGCTCCGCCATCTATACTATACACTTTGATTTCTATTGTATCCTTTGGCTGAATGCGTAGCCTCACCCTGCGTTTGTTTTCATCGTTCCCATCTATTTGGTAATCACTCAATAGTTGACGTTTGTCCAACAATTTCAAATTTTTCCAGTTTACTAGGGCAATTTGTTGTTCCTCTAACCCCCATGATTTGGCCACTTGTTGAAATAGAGATTGCACACGGTCATAACAATTGTAGTCCACTTCAATCGTTTTATCCNTTAATAGCAAAGACCAGACATTTTAAGAACGGGGAATTTTAACTCTGCCAGGCGATGGGCGAACGGAAAATATTTACTCTGCCAGAAGGATGGAAAAAGTCGAACGGGGAAGTTTTACTCTGCCAGAACGATGGGAAAAGGTCGATCGACAAGATGGCCAATATCTAATTGAATAAAGTTATATTTTTAAACAAAAAAAATATTTAATTGAATAAAGTTATATTTTTAAACAAAAATTAAAATTTGCCTTCTTATTTGAAATCGCCAATGACTTAGTTGCTAACCTTCTTATTTGAAATCGGCAATGACTTAGTTGCCAACCTAATAGTTTAAATAAGTGGTATGAAATTTTATGACCATCCTTATGATATTTTGTCCTTGTCATCTATACGAACAGTGAATGTTTTCGTCTCAAACGCATTTACAATGGAATCATATGAGTTTTCTATATTGTGTATTTGGTTAACCAATGCAAACGAAAATTTGATTGAGACAATTTTGGAACATCGGCAGTACTAACGGAAACATGGAGTCTTCTTTTGAGTTAGAAAGCGGTGGAACTAAAGTCTACTTTTAGAGACCCAAATTGAATGACATATTTTTGTTATACAAGTAGTCATAAAGTCAGATTGAAGAAAACACTAAGTACACTGAAGCTGAATATTCGGAAGTTGTGGTTACGATTTCTTGTTACTTCCAAAATGCCAGTACCTATTCGGTGATTTTTAGTGTAACTACCCCAGCACTAACTTTGCCTTGTAATAGATGCCTGTTCCAGTGAACTGTGGAGAAAATATTATAATTTGTCTAAAAAACTGAAAACTGCTTTTCCAAAGATATAGGGTGATTGTGTATATCTAGTAAAGGGTTAGGTATTACCTCCAAAATACTAGTATATATTAAAAACGAATTCAATGCGACTCTGAAGAAGAAGAGGTAGAATTGTCAAACACCTAGTCTGTTGCTACCTGTTAATTGGAAGAAGGCTGTATCAGCTATTTTAGGAATACACACACACCCCCCTGTCAATTGGCCAAATAGACCAATGTGGAAGGTAGCATGCCGATGAGTTATCTCCTTTGGGTTCATTGGGCATTGGTAGCTGTGGTCACTCTCGCCATTGCACTATTTGTTTATTTTGATCCGATTTTTCATAAATTGTAGTGTGTACAACTAATATGAATGTCCAAAATTAGATGTTATATTATACGTGTTAACAAATAAATGATGATTTAAATGGATTAATTGTGGACATAAACAGATAAAAATGTAATAACTGAAATAAATAATGGTCAACGATCCATTTATTTAACTAAAAATTGAAATAAACAACAAACCACTCACAAAATTTGGTATACGTAGATAGGAATGATACGTAATTGTAGGTTACCAAGTATTGATTCATGAAAATATTCCTTAAGAAAAGCACAAATCGAATATTTTTTGTCCTCCACCGTGAAGTCTACTTTGTGAAAATAAATGGGTACCATTTACAATACCCAATGAGTTCAAAGTGGCATCATTAGCGAGTTGTTTCCCTTTGAACATTAGTTGAATACTGTTCGTATCTCTGTTTTCCAATTTCCCAATTTCCTCTTTTAATTTGAGTACTGTGCCGGAACTTGGTATTTTAAAATTTTGATCTCCGCCATCTATACTATACACTTTGATTTCTATTGTATCCTTTGGCTGAATGCGTAGCCTCACCCTGCGTTTGTTTTCATCGTTCCCATCTATTTGGTAATCACTCAATAGTTGACGTTTGTCCAACAATTTCAAATTTTTCCAGTTTACTAGGGCAATTTGTTGTTCCTCTAACCCCCATGATTTGGCCACTTGTTGAAATAGAGATTGCACACGGTCATAACAATTGTAGTCCACTTCAATCGTTTTATCCTCTCCCACAATTTCAATAAATGGTGCTGGTATGATATCCACATCAATGTGTTCACTTCTATCAAAGTCAAAATTATTTAAAATGCTGTCGTTGTGCATTTCCTCACCGTGATAATAAAAACGTTGACGTTTTACTGGATAATCGTATTTGCCCTCAATTCTCTCCTTAATCTCACCAATTTCATCAGATTGGGGATCACAACTCAGTGTAATCGTTTTCTTTCTATCACCATCTTTGATAATAAATGTAACATCCTCCATTCAAAATCACTTCTCTACTGGAAGCTGCACAAAATAAAAGTGATTAAACTTGTGTTTAACAAAGATCAAGTTTTATTGGCTAAAAGCTGACAAATGAGACGTTTGGTAACGCCTTGTCAACAAGGTCACACCACTATGTGAAATCGAAGAGTTGCCTGTGGTATTCTTAACTGGCGCTATAAATATCACACTATGCCAACTCTATCTGCTCGAAACTTTTATTTCTTGCCCATTGCTTGAAGGTAAGAGGGAGAATTTATTCTAATGTGCTATGTATAGTCCTTTGAAGGATTTTTTTAAACCTATTTTGTGATTACGCTACACCTGTTTTTCCACCTAGAGTATATTTATTCCCTGTGTCATTTACGCATGCTATTTTTATCTTTCCTAACTGAAATTTATGAAATGCGAGCTGAAGTTTTCTAATTTAAATACTACGTGTCTACGGTGTGTTCTTCGGGTTAAATATTTTCTTTACAGAGGCATGTCTTTTTAAGAGCTACTTAGAAGTGAGTAGATGAAGTCAAAGATAGAGTTAATTAATCAGGATATCAAGGAGATATGTGGAGTGATTGAATTGGCAAGTGTGAAGCACCAAACACAGTTACTTTCTGTCTCACGATGCATAGAATCTCACATCACCAAAATTCAAGTAAGGACAGTGAAATGTACCATTGACAAACTGGTTCTAACTTACTGGATGCTTTAGGATTTCTAAATGAAG